TGACATGACCTGGAAAAACATTCGCACCTGTCTTTCTGCATGACTAATTCAATGTAGTTTATTTACTTATCAGTCCTATATCTCCCAATGTAATTTCAAAACTATATATATCCGTGTATGTAAAGTATTCAGTCCTATATCTCCCAATGTAACTTCAAAAGTATATATCCGTGTATGTAGAGTATTCAGCTGACGAGTTCTACCGAAATTTGATGAATTCATTAAATCCTGCTTTATTAACCTTTATTGCTTGTTTTAAATTCGTATCGGGAAATAAATGTTTCCAAATAAGGAATTGGCATGAGAATGAATCTTCTCAATAAGTGAAGTCGAATGACTTCACCTATGCCATATGTATTTTGTATAAATGGGTATGTTTACATGAAAGGCCTGCGATTTTTACAGGCACGCCCAGTTATTTTATAAATTGCAATGGTGAATCAGCGTGAAATATCACTTTTTCAAAAGTTTAAATTGTTGGATTATAGTACAAGTAATCAGAACAGGTTCGTATAAATGTTATGTTGTTAACCATTCACTAAGGTCACGATCGAGTCTTAGCGCCTACCCGAACTTTTTTCCATTTCCCACTGATAGTGGTAGCCAGCCGATAAACAACATGTACCTGGGTATGCACTATGGCACCACGTGGCTAATAGCTATTTCAGTAAGCGAAGGGAAGCTGTAAAATGGTATAAAATGCAGTTGTGTATAATACATTGCTGAAAGTACATTTACGGGATAAATGCGAGGAGCTATAGAGTACTTGGAATGATAGCATACACTGCAATGTATAATGCTAACCATACTGGTCTTATCATGGAAAACTATAAAATTTTAGATGGAAATATAGTTATTCTCAAATATGGGTGTTGTTGTTATGATTTTGCATCAGAGAAACCAGACTTTAAGCGAGAGAAGAATGTGAATGAAAAGAATAAGTTGTGGCTTTAATAAAGGTCTAGGGAGTTAATGTGAAACGGAGTATTATAGTAATTAGATAAAAGGATTATTGTGAGGTGTATAAGTGACATTTCGGAGAAGTGGCTTGAAAGATTAGAACCAGTAGGATATGCTGACCTGCAAGATGCTTGGCGAATTTGTGCAGAAACCATGGGGGTAAAATCTTGACAGAAGGCTGAGCAGGCTTCTAGATGTTAGGAGAAAAAGTATTTTTTTATAATTTAGATCTGTGGAGGCAATACTGTTTTTTACGCTAATTTTTTATGCTGAGGATCTAAATTCATGTTTAATTCTCGAGCTGTAAAAAATGCATGCCGCTATTTTACAGGCCGGAGCGACTCACATTTGTGACCACAGCCACTACTTCTAACGGTAGGGGACAAATGGGTTGGTCTAGGACTATTTAATTGCAGTTAGGTTTCTCAATATAGCCATAATATAAACACCTTGTCTTCAACGGACCATTTGCACAGATCTTCGTGTTGTGTTACTTCTTGCCTCCTTACCGTGTTTCTTTCACGTCTTTCATGCATCTCCACAACGCTGTATCATTTACCCTCTCTGACATCAAATATAAATTTTTGATTATATCTTGATTCCACACCGTCTTTTTGGTACAAGTATGAAATTTTCAGGATGTGATATCTGTAACCCGAATTTTGCAGGCCGACCATTGATATCAGGTGTCCGTCGGCAGGGGATCGAACTCCGGACCATGTACATGGTCGGCGAGAGTCCTAACCGTTGTGCCACCGACGCAGCTGTTTGATGTTCATATGCTGATGAAGGCCTATTTACATGCTTCTGATAAATCTTATCAGTATCACTCGCCACGCTCGTCTCCCATGAAGCATTTTCGAGCTAAGCCGTTCAGACTTCCTTGGTTCTGCCTCTCTCTGTTGTATCTAGGTCCCGGCTCCCTATCCTACTGGATCCATTTCTGTAGTTGGCTGATGTTAACACGTCTCCCCTTATTTCCTCTTTTGATGGTATAAACGGGCCTACGTCTCTCGATTAGAGTATGTAACCCTTACTACTTCGGAAAGAGTTTCTGAGAACCTGGCACACATCTAACGACGTCCATTCTTTCCCTACGCTTAACTTGATCTCCGACCCCAAAGGCTCTACATCGCATCTTCCCTCCCTGTTCTGATTTCATGGCGTCTTTCTTCTGTTAACCCTTCTTATTCCTGACGGCTTCTTTAAATTCTATTCGCAGCCTAATCATATTCCACTCCTGATGGGGGGCCAAGTTGTGTTGTGTCTTGGTAGTCGGTTTTCCTCTCCATGAATCAACTAAATGGGTGACTTCTTTGTTTGTTTCCTGGGTGGACGCACGATGTGCTAGTAGAATCAATGGAAGCTATGTCACTCAGTTACCTCCCTTAGAAGCCATCCACTCCTTCGGCGAACGATTATTCCGTTCTGTCAGGCCACTCGTTTGCGGATGATTTGGTGTTATTCTGACCTTCTTCATACTCACCTGTTGCAAACGGGAAGCGGACATCCCAGTACGTATTTTGCCAAATCTTCTCTCATACCTGGCCAGTACATGGGTTGTCCTAAGAGGTCAGCTGTTTCATCTACTCCTGTGTGTGCTAGCTGGTGACATTCTTTTATTATCTCATGGCGTAGAGCCTAAGGCAATTACGCCAACCAACATACATCGTTTTCTGGCGAAGTCAGAGTTCCGTAGGCGTTCAAAAATAACCGATCTTTCTGTCTGAGTAGCGTAGTCAGCTCCTTACTCGCTGTAGGTTAATTCACTTCTGTTCCTCT